ATTACCTCAATAAAACGAAAACCTGTCCTAACGGGATCGCCCCGCTCCCCATAAATTCCTCTCGAACGCAGAAACGGAAAGAGAAATTCCTTCCGTTTCGGTCTGAGACAGAAAAATGCTTTGCCCGTTCAGCTCTATCAAGTTTGGTTCCATCGGCTTTAACCTTCACGTAATGCCGCTATGCGAGGAAGTGGAGTAGGGGTGCAGTTTAAGGGTAGATGTTGCATCACTCTCATCCTTGTGAGCCCTCGGTACAGATGGCTAGGGTGGTGTGGGTGTGACATCTCACCAGTTAGGCCAGTAAAAATTGACATCGAACCCTGACATGTAAGGTAACAACCGAATTTATGCGCCAACTTGAACTTTAGGATGTTAAATATTACCCAAAAAAATTCAATCAAAATCGCCCTTGGGGAACATGCTTAACTTTAACATAATAAAGGTCCAATTGGTCAATTTTCCAATTCTTGAAAAGATGTCATTAGTTTCATACAGAATGAAAGAGATAGTCAAATGAAGCACAAAAATACTTTTATTTCTTTTTAATTGACCCAATAGATATCATTTAATTAGCGTTTAAAGATGATAAAACGTCATCGTCACTGCCAAGGTCATCTTTAAAAATAGCTGAAATATGGCCGCGTTTGGTATCAAATTAAACGTCTCAACAAGACAAACTTTGAATGTGTGTTGTTTATGCATTTATCATACATTTAAGTTACGTATTCGCGGTAAACACATGATTGAGATATAATAATACACGTTTTGAAACAAAAAGATAGTTGTGATCATATAATCTTCAAAAATAAATCCATGTTTGGGCATAGCATGCTGCTTGTATGCCAAGCTTCATGAAAATTCTTTGGTAAACATTGGAAGATAAGAATAAATAGTAAAATTAGGGCGAAATAAGGCGTTTTCGTGGTTTCACATGTGGAACCCCCCGCCCATGTAGACTAACCGATTGTTTGAGTTGGTCATCAGTGTATGACTTATGCTCATACATATACAAATAACGAAAACGTTTAAAAGCTATCAGTCACAAGTAATCAACCACCTCTAAAACAAAATTTGATTGAAACAAAAGTGCCCACAATCGAAACTAGTAATAAGGTATTCACAGTTATTTTACCGTCAAACAATTCTTCTTCATGTGCTTCCCATACCCACAAGGTAGTGGTGGTTTTATGGTATCAGAGTTTTTCTTCTCCCAGACAGTTCACGCAAAAATTGGATAACTCTACTCTCATGTCCGGGCTCACACCATTTTCTTGTCATTGTTTTGTACTGGCCTACTAGACTACATGTACATCTATAGCGAGAGATTGTGTAAGTAGATTTCATCCTTCGACTATCTTGACGTCTCCACGTGAGTCTCGCAAGTACTCACCCCGTCTCTTGAATCGTATTTGCTTCGGCGTACTGCTAGATTCTATGTTTAAGTGCAGTGTTGAGGAAAAACATATATATATATA